ATCAAGATGGTCTAAACTGAGTCTGGCTAATTCTAAATACACACTTTTTTCACCATTAAAAAAAAGGGGGGGCTGGGTGTGCCGCTCAATGGTAGAGAATGTGCTTATCATGCACACACACAAGCTCCTTACACTGTCAGATGTCAATATTTGTGTTTATTTCTGATCCCTGTGGCTATAGTGTCCTTGTCACCTCACTCTCTGGATTTAGTCCCCTCATTCCCCAGGGCCCCTTCCAATGTCAACAGTTCTAAGTGCTTCAGGTTGTCTTGCTTAGAATTGACCATTCCCCTTCAGACTGCAGTTAGCAATTTTGTCTCCTAAGAAGATGCCTTCGAGGCACTTTCTCCCCTAAGAACTGTTGTAAGTTCCTGGAGAGCAGTAGCCATTTTTTCTTGGTCTTTGAATTTCCATTCATGCTTCCCAAAGAGACTTTCCTTCAGGAAAAAAAAAAAAAAAAAAAAAAAAAAACTAAAACATTAACATTTTTACAAATAGAAGAACTGAGCTTTAACAAGGAGCTCAAACCTAAGGTTATAGGGAAACTCATTTGTACCTCATGAGCGGAATCCAGACCTGCGGGGTTTGCGTTCTGTTCTCTCTCCCTTCTATACGAGTGACTTCTGTCCTTCTAGCCCTGTTTATAAATTTGCCTTCTGAAACCACCCACACTCCATTAAGGGGAGCATCTTAATCCCTTTTGCCCCATTAAAAAATTGACAACCAGAAATATTGCCAGTCTCAAGCTTCTCTTCCACCCCTATTCTCTCTAACATCCTGATCAGAGCATAATATGCTCAAAGGAGGAGATGATTCTTTCTGATCTTTTCCTGCATACCTAGTATCTAGCCCAGTGCCTGGACATAGCAGGTACTTAATAAATATTTGTGGAGTGAGTAATGAACCACTGTTTACTTAAAAGACCCAAGGCCATGGGGAGGAATTAGCAAACCAAGAGTGCAGGACGCCATCCACGAATTACATGAGGATCTTCTCTGGGCATGGAAACCAGGGAGATTTAGATCTGGCCTTGGGAACTATCTATGGCTCTCCCTTGGCAATAGATTGCCCAATGCATGTGATCTTTATCTCCGCTCTGCTAGGAAGATTGCTCATAGTAGCTCTGGAGATGGGCATAACCCATTAGGAAATGGACAGCCCACCTTTAACCTCTTTTGATGAAGAACATTCTGTGGAAGGCCTTTGACGTTTCCCGATATAAATAAAGCAGGCGCGGTTTCCATTTTGCCATAGTCTAGAAAGCTCCATCCGTCTGTTCGGCTTGCCCATCCTGTCCCCCACTTTTGAAAGTACTTTCTGTGTTCTGTGGGTTTTTTCTCCATTCTATTTTTCTTAGCTTTTATTTCTCAGCCATCCCATTCCACCAAGGGGAACCCCATTTCCACCACCCATGCGGGTCATGGGCAAGACACAAGTCTCATTTGTTGAGCCAAGAACTCTCTCTCAAGCCAACTGCACGACCTGTCCCACACCTGCTAACCACCTTGCTAATTGTGCCACACTCTGCTTCTCTTGTATCTGTTTTATCAAAGCCTCCTGTGTCAGGAATAAATAAAGCTATGTTAGACCTGAGCCTGAGTCCTCTTGCATACCTAAAGAAAACATTTTGCTCTCTGCCAGACCTCTTCCCAATTCCAAAAAGAATTCATCTCTATAACGGATTCTATAATCTTGTCATGCACCATGATTCCCTCTTCCTTCGTTTTTCTCCTTCTTCTCGCACACTCCTAGTCAAATACCACCTCACTTTCTAAGCTGCTGGGCCTCTCTCTCGGGATTCCTGTACACGCGTTAATGATGCCAAGCCCTGAAGCTGAACATGAAAGAAGTGAAGCCTGAAAATGATCCCTTCTGTCATAGACTCATTTAGTAATCCACATCTAGATTGGGGGCGTGTATATACGTGTAAGTTGCTGTGCCTTCAGCCACAGATGCAGAGCCCGTGGAAAAAATTGAAATCATTTGCCAATAGTCTTGTCTACGTTTTATTAAAAAAAAAAAAAAACTTATTCCAATGAATAAACAAGTTGGAGGATTGTTCTCTTGGAATTGTATTCACCTGTTCATTTTGATGGAGTCGTGCTTAGAGCAAAGGGAAAGCTACAAATGTGTGCAGAAGTTGTGGCCATAAGAAGATAAGAGGGAGAGAAGCCAGCGAGAATGGCCGGATATTAGTCTGGTCTCCAGCTGCCTACCTTATCCTGTAGTGAACTCTCAGCATTTCCTCTCTGGCACAACTTTCTGCTGGAATTTACACAGATGTAGACAATTATGCCTTTGAAAACTTGAAATCTGGCTTCCAAAGCAGTTTATCCCTTTGTCTACACAAATGCCATTTAAGTGAAAATTTAGAAAATTCAGTAGTTTAGAAAATGGTATCCTCCATCCCGGCCTCTCTCCTTTCAAGCTCATAACATCCGAAAACAAGAAGAGGGCCTCCCATAGCTTGGAGTGCCTCCACCTGCAGATTTGGCACGTTTGCCACTTGGTGTCCTTGACTTGTGCATGTCCTTGTCTTTCTCCTTTTCCAAGAGCAGAGTCCCTCCAGTGGGTGAGTTCAAATGCTGGCTCACAAAGAAATTCAAACCTCTCCCTCTGTGGCCAAGTAGCCATGCACCTACAAGCAGCTGCCTTCCTCCTACTCCAAATGTGGTTCTAGACTCAATAATAGTGCCCCAAAGATGTCTTCAGTATATAAATTGGTACTGGTTCACTAAGGAAAGTGTATCCATGAGTTAAATGGCTCAGGAACGAACAGAGATGCAAGGCACATTGGCACACACTTGTAATTCCGGTGACTCTGGAGGCTGAGGCAGGAGGATTACCAGCCTCAGTAGCTTAGAGAGACCCTGATAAAAAGGACTGAGTATGGAGCTCGGTGGTAAAGTGCCCCTTGGTTTTACCAAAATAAATTAATTAATAATCAACAGAGAGGTACCTTCCCAGAGTTCTAGTAGGTGTTGTTCACGTCACAGACAGCTTGAAAAAAACCAACACACTGGGCTCCAATAAAGAGTTAAAATAGGAGCTTTATAAGAGTGTGTCAGGCTCAGGACAGCTATAGCAAAATTTAATTTGGACTTCCAATTGTTTATATTTTACCAGAGAAACACCATCACACATGAAGAAATTGATTGTACAAAAACAAAACCCTTTTTTTTCTTTTTTTTTCCTGTGCTGGGGACCAAACCCAGGGTCTTATGCATGCCAAACAAGCATGTTACATCCCAGCCCCAGACACAGCATAACTGTACTATTGGCTCCCAAGAACCCAAAGGAAAGTTTCTTCCTGGTCCTTGTTTTAGGAGAATGGAGAAATGGTTAAAGGAGTGAGTAAACAGGTACATTCTGAGGACCAGCCAAGTTCATTCCCTGTTTTGGATCTCCCATGTTTCTGAGAAGAGGGAAGAAATTCATTTATAAAGCATAGGAAGCAGCCATTTTCCCTAATTCAGGCTTCAAGTCTGGAGTTGATAGGTTCCGGGAAAATGGAAACCAAAGTCCTTGTATGTATCTACTTAGAGTTTTGTTAGTTTGTCGTTTGGTTTTGCAAAATGTCGTAGCTTTCCTTGAATTCAGAGAGGTCTGTGGGCCAAACCAGGTTAGGAACTGCAGTTCTGTATTCTGCTGTATTTCACATTACCCTTACATCAAAGCGTCACTGAAACTAGCAATGGAAGATGAGCCCACACTGTTGTCAAGTTCCCTGAATAAGGAAACTCGGATGCACCACATGGATCTCCTCCCAAAATACATTATACCAATTTCTACTCCTAGAGTAAATGAAATATGAACCACCTCCCACCAGCACATCATCCCTGTCGCCGCATCATTTATTCCTTTCATGATACCCAGTATTTTCAAACAACTTTCTCTGCTTCATTTCCCCACACAAATAAGAATGGGCCCAGTGGGGGACATTCCTCTGTTGTGAGAGACTCCCTTGCTTATCTACTCATTCCAGGCAAAAGAACGTGATGCAAATTGTCAGTTGGGTTCATCCTATTTTTATTTCCATTGTTAAACATACCTAAAGAGCTTATCATAATCCAGGACTATATAAAGGCCAAAAAAAAAACTGAGATAATGGAACATAACTAGCTTGTACACTGAGTACCCAACTAAAAACACGATCCAACTGTACCCAAGGCTGCAGTGTGACACTGGCAGCAGGACTGGTGCAATCTTAAGGCGGGAAGATTTGACAAAGGACCTGTCTCTGTCCAGATTCTGTTGCTACTCCGGATACCTTTCACTGTTTACCCTTTTGACCTAGAACTATTCGGTACTATTCAACATTCAACATTTGAAAAGAATTTTCCTCTTTTTTTTTTTTTTTTTTTTTTACTTTTCAAAGTTCAGACTTCATGTAAAGGATCTTCATCCATTAGAGTATTTCATCGATAGATAGTCTTTCCTATTTTGCTCATCCTCTAGGGTGACATTTAAGTCATCATGCAGGGGAAAGGTTAAATGATGACAATAGACATAGATCAAGACCTGGAACAAAAGGTCATCATGTCCTCCTGCCCAGGGCCATGAAGCTTGCCCTGCACCACACACTGCATCTGCATCACCTGCCTGGGATTCGACCTCAGTTCCCACCAGGATGGTAATGATAGAAAGTTCTTGAAGCAGCAAGATAACAAATTCCAAGTTCACCACTATCTGAAAAAGAAAAATCTCCAACTTCTAGAGATGGAAGCTCCCTCTTGCTCCCTGTATTGTATTATCAACATGTTTCTTTGCTGAGGAGAGCTGCAGTCTGTTTTTGACCGGCTCATATTCTCCCACATATAAAGTAGCATGTTTAACTTCCTTCATTTTCTCCATAAATTGTGTTCAAACCCAAGCATCATTCTAACCACATAATCAAAAAGACAATGTTATTACCTAATCTATATGAATGTCATGAGGTAGCAATACAATAATAATTTTTTAAAAAGCGTCCTGTTCAACATTCTCTCCTCTTTCCACAGATTCGGAACGTGGCAGCGAATCTCTGCGTGGACAGTAAGCATGGAGCCACAGGAACCGAGCTGAGGCTGGACATCTGTGTCAAGGATGGTTCTGAAAGGACGTGGTCCCATGAACAGGTACGTGAGAAGTCATGGGCGAGGAGGCCAGTGGGGGTCTGAGGCAGGTGTGGAGGGATGTGGTGGGAGCAAGTCTCCAGGTGGAACACGTGGGACCTGGAAGGAGGTTATGGATCTGTCACTGATGAGCTATGTAGTTAAGTGAATCACTCTACTTCTTTCTGTTTCTTCTCAGAGCCATTGTGATAATCAGTTGAGATATGGATACAAATATGCTTTCAATTATAGGAAGGATGGTAGAATTGTTCGCTGTGACATGAATCTAATTGTCTTTCCAAGAATGATAGTTTTCAAGATGCAAAAAACCTGCAGAGTGCTAGGAAAAGCTTCCAACAAAATTTCATGATTTTGATGGAAGACTATAATGTTCTGTATTTGGGATCTCATATAATTTTCTTTTTCCCTTTTGGCTGTGTATCCAAAAGAAAAACACATGCATCTTTGTTGTTGTAGTAATAGTTGTTAATCTTAGGCATGAAGGTAACACCCCAACGTGGACTTCACAGGATACTCTGTATCTTGCTTTTGATTGAAACACATTTCAATGCAACTCAGTTTAGGTAGGGTGTGATCCTAATCCGATTTGAAACTTGAAAGTTCTTATAAGGGGTTTTCCTTACGCTATGCCATTGGTGAAAGAGAAAAGATAGTAGGTAATATTCTGCCTGCCTCCTTTTATTGTTTAATTTTGAATTATAAAATATGTCAATAGGAAAATATAGAAAATTTAGCAGATATTTATGCATGCATTACATGGATTTAATAATGATTGACAGCTAGTGCCATACTTAAAAAAGAAAAAAAATGAAATAGATACCATTAGAGCCTTTCCTCCATCCTATTCACCTCTCCCCTTTGCAGAATGATTCATTCCAAGGTCAGGGTAGTATGGTTTACGAGTACTTCAATTTCTCAAAATTGTTCACAATGCCTTTCTTATGAAAACTGAAAAAGTGAGCAAGAGTTCCCAGAAGGCATTACTGCACTCCTACAGCTGTACTCCTTATGTGTCTATCCTGTGTACTAGACCAGGAAGAAGCCCAGTTTGGGCATGCTTCAGTTGTGGAGAGACTTCTTATCTTATGTCTCATTCAAGGCAAAAAAAAAAAAAAAGAAGAAAGAAAAAGAAAAGCTTCGTTAAAATCATTAGTTGTATAATTACCATGATCAGCCTCGAATGCTAAGGAGTTGTTCACATACAGAGATTCAGTGTGTTGGCACCTCCTTCTCCCCAGTCCCCTGCCCTTTCCTGTCTCACCTCCACCCTGCATTACAGTCAGAGCACCAGGATGCTACAAAAACAGCAAAAGACCATGTCCAGAGCACAGTCCAAAATCAATCCAATCAAACAACACCTCCTGTCGTCCATCTAACCACTTACCAGTCCTTACAATCTTACCCCTCAACCTCGTTGTGTTCTAGAAGGATAATGAACCTTGCAGTCAGCCCAGATTTCAGTTTAAACTATGTGGCCATGTGAAATTGTTCAATCTTTTTGGGCCACAATTTTTCCATATTTAAACAAGGATAATACCCACTTCCTGGATGGGGTTATATGAGAAGGAATTATAGCCATGATACAACAGCATCTTGCACATGAAGTAGGTGCAGAAAAAATACATTTCCCTCTGCCTTCTCATACACACTCATAAAGTTACTTTATGCTAATATCAAATCATAAATCCCTCTTGGGTCCAAGGCAGTGGTGACTTTGGCTCCATTTGTTCATTCCCAGCATAGTCACCAAATACTAGTTATCATTCTCTCCAATATATCCTGCAGTGTGGGACACTTACCTGCTGGGTTTTTACAGAAGGTTCTGTGGCTTTAGGATTTAATGATAAGAATCAAATATTAGAGTAAGCAGACTTGTTTCTTCCTTTCTCTATCTATCACTTTCTATAAGCACCACAGGGATGTTTCCAGAAGAACAATGTTGGCTCTTACCTCTAAGGAGCAATTCTGACTTCAGTCTGGGAGCAATAGAGAATGCTCAGGAGGTTATTAGTCAGACTGGCATCCAAGGAACAGACATGTATTTATAAAAGAAAGAAGTAAAAGGAAGAAGTTATATGGAAAAGCTTTGACTCTTGAGCTAAAATTTGTCTCCACCACTTCCTATTCAGCCTATCCAGAGAAAATTAATAATCCAGGGAAAACATTCTAAACCAGCTATTTAGTATGAAAGATACCTGCCTGGATGCCTGAATCAGGTTGAATATTTCCATTCAGTAATATTCTAGAATGAAATTGGCTCAGGTCTGAAAATTCTATTTGACAGCTAAAAACGAATATAAGCAAAACCAATTCTATTACACACACTTTAAAAATTATTGGTTCATTTTCCCCCCTTAGGCTAAACTGCAAAAATCCATGGCATGTGATTTAAGAAATGGTCACCAGAGAGCAGCACTAGACAAGCAGAAAACTACATGAGCAGAACAAAAGCATGGGTTTGTAAAGAAACAGTTGTAAGGAATAATAATAAAGAGGAGGCAGAGACAAGGTACAGAGGCAGGGAAGGTACAGAGTGGCTCTTTGTCCAAGAGGCCACATTTATTTATAACAATAGGTTACATTAGGTCATCAGTACCATAACCACATTATTGTTTAGAGTATCAGTAAGGTTGCTTATTCTGCAGTTACATTTCACAGTTACAATATGCAATGTTAGGAGCTTTGTGCAGTCCTTAAGAAAGTCCATTGTCTGAAGTTATTGTTACGTGGGCAGCTTCAGAAGCACCAGAGCTTGATGAAACATCATAGTTATCTAGTAAACAAGTTCTTCTATTCCCAGGAGCTATGTGCCTGCAATCAAGGTCGAAGCTTGATGAGGCTCTAACACAGAGGCATCTCAGGGCATTGCCATACCAGCTAGACACAGCACATATATTAGTTATATTATTATATCCTAAGAGAGATTACAGGCCATTCTAAGGGTGGGAAACAGGGTGCCTATTACCCCCTGGGAGTTTTCTCACCAGGGTAACGCTTCCCTGTACATTTCCACAGTCAGAATCTCTACACTGGTTAATATAGGTCTTTTTTTAAAAAAATTCTCAGTCTCTGGAGATCCCCAAAATGGAGCTACCAGATTAAAGGTTGACTGGAGGTAAAAAATGATTCCTATTTGAAATATGTCTCATCATCACATATTGACTTGGAGTCTAAAATATTACAAATGGCTGCCTTTCCCAGTAATTAAACTATAACCTTTCTTCCATATATTATTCAATGATTTACAAGAATTATAATTCATTCTCTTACACTTAAATTAAAAGTCCTGAATGAAAAGTATATCAGAACATGAAAATTAAGGACATTCTTTTTAATTCAAAAAGATTTAAAAGGGAGTCCACATTGGAGTTGAAGTGATTCCTTTAAAAAAAATTTTTTAGTGAAAAAAAAATAAAAATGTTACATGGGAAACAAAGGAAAGTCCACTGAAGCACTATTAAAAGAAAATGTCCTTTGTTGCAGAACACTAGTCCTGACTAATCTGGCTTCTGTGAAGGAAGCAGATGTATGATTCATGCTTCCAGGGTGATCTATTTAGCTACTTGATATCACTGGAGCATTGTGTGCTGGCTCTCCGTTTCCTTTAGGGAACAAGAAAGAAAAATAAAAATAGATCCAAGTAAGACTGTAAGGTCTGGAAAGGAGACTCCCTAACTCCCATGATGAGTGCAGGGGAGAGGGGAGGGGAGGCATTCCCCTTGGCCTACTTCAACTGCTCCCACTCTGCAGGCCCAGCAGCAGCTCTGACCTCATGCTGGGGAGGAAGCAGAGCAGCAGAGGAAGCAGGCAAGTACCCCCTTTGCAAGACCTGAAGGAGGAGAGACACACAGAGGTGGAAGCAAGTCAACACCTGCAGGGAAAGAACAAATTCTTTCCCTTTGGGAAAAACACTCTCACCATCAGGACAGAGCATACCCATGGGGAAAAACTGCAAGGAAAATCACACTGTATCTCACCCGATTTCACACAACAATGAAATAAAACATAACTACCCACAGAGAGAAAAAAATATTTTCAATTGTCTCAAATCAGATACAAGAAGATCAGTGTATTTGTAGTTCCCAGCCCAGTGAGTTTATTCAGATAATACAATACAGACCAAGCAGCATTACACATACCACATGAATATTTAAGCAAAGAAATGAGTTATCACTGTAAATCTGTATTTGAAACTATCACTCAAAAGAAGAAAGGGGAGAAATTAACAGCAATTTACTTTCAAACTGATGATACACATTTGGGATGGCAGCGAGTGGGGAGGATGGGTTTTATTTTTCTTTTTTCACAGGCAACCTGAAGGAAACTTAGATAGTTTTGTCAATAAGATCAGCTCAAGGGCAGAAAACCAACTATGAATGTCACAGTGACATTACCCGGGGCAAAAAAATGAAAATGGCTTCATAATGTCTGCTTGTTTTTGCTTTGACAAGATTGTGCATGGAAGTGTAACTAATGAATGAAAGACTCAATGCCTGATTGGTTTGACATGGCCATTAGGCTAAGATAAATGACAAAGACATAAGAGAAAAAAAAAATCTTAGCTAAAGGTAGGTGCAGAAGAATAAAGCAATTGATATAATTTGAAGATGTATTACCCAGGATGCAGGAACATATTCACCAGGTAATAACAACAATAATAATAATACATAAAACACTATTAAAATTACACTCTAACAAGCTACAGATGTAAAACTGAGCATTACACTATGACAACAAAGCTAGAAATAAAGGGAAAAAAAGTTATCTAAGGATGCCCTGAGATACATTTGTGACAATAGATGAAGAGATCTGAGAGAGAAATTTATCTATTTGCTATAATACAAGTATTCCTTTGGACTTAACAGACCTGTTTAATAAAAAGTTTGTAAAGACTGTCTGCAAGGGCCTGGGGTTGTAGCTCAGCAGTAGAGCACTTGCCTAGCATGTGTGAGGCACTGGGTTTGATCCTCAGCCATGTATATAAATAAGTGAATAAAACAACC